AGTAGGACCGTGGACGTGGTACATTCCCAGACGTTTCGCCGGCATCGTAGTCGGCATCGTCAGTGAGTCCTGCCATTCGTAGCACCATATTATAACTCGTCAAAGAGACAAGTGAAGCCCATCCTTTGACCAAACATGTGCTAAACACTTATGATATCTCCCCTTTTGCCCTGGCATATTAACATTTCATATATATTCCTATCATGCCCTTTCTGTCACAGTTTTTACCGTGCTTATTCTTAATGAAGTGTCGTGTGCTCCTTCGAGCGGCAGTCATGAAAACCATTCACACTCCACACTGTCGTTATCACCCCCTTCACCCTTGTGCTGGGATTGTTTACCAGAGTCTGTCATATTTTTACGTAGTCCTTCCCTGGGTCATATTAAAGTCTCCCTCTTGCCCCGTCGAATCCGTCTGCTATCTCCCTGGTACATGTATTTTACTCGACCCCTGCTCCCCCATCTGTGCTATTCGAGTCGTAATTCGTCCATCTTTTGCACATGGGCGATTAATTAGAGGCTAAAGCCTCAGAGTAAGTGTCATGGTCATGCCTATGCTACATGGACCACGTCTCTTATAAAACCTACTGTCAGCCCACTAGCTCCAAAGCGCCGCCGCGTCTATGCTGTTTCTATCTCTAATACCAAATATATGACTTGCCATGCCCTAGTTGCTTGTGTGTCAACCCACAAATGTTGTGGTACCGCTGGCTTTGTTTAGGTTCAATGTTGAACCACAACGTTTGTGGGTTGTCACTATCCTTTATGAGCTAACATTAGACCTTTTTATCACACACACACACGCAGGCACTCACGTACAGAAACACACACACCATCGAGTAAAAGGAGCAATATCAATATGAATTATAATTATCCAAACCATCCTATATCTTTCTATGCCTATACATTTTCGTTTTTTAGTTATGTGTAGAGAGAAGAGATAAGATAGAGCTGGATAGTCTTCTTGATATAGCGTTAGCGTGGAATTTTTATATGAACGTGTTCCAGCTCTGATGATGTACATCATATGATGAACGAAAGCTCGGCCCGTTTTCACCCGAAACTAGGGAAATGGTCTCGTGGACAGCGTCAACCTGAACGCCGTATGAAAGCCAAACCGCTGCAGTACAACGCGATTCATCCATCCTCTTCTGGTCAAATCGACCTACGAATCTCTACTTCATGCACTTCTAGACGAAATAAAGGTCTACCCAAGAGTAGGGAAAAGTCGTTACTCGAAGGTATAAAGACCAAGATGGTGTGGCCTTTTGTGTGGTCGCAGTCTCCTTTCGTTGAATAGATGTTGTTTGACCTTGTTTTCGCAACTCGGTCATATTGGTAGGAAGACTCAAAGAAACCCACCTAGTCCGGAGTCCATTGTATGCATCATCGTTTCCAGAGTAGGACCGTGGACGTGGTA